GTCTGGGAAATTGTCTATTTTTTCCTGAAATTTTCCTGAACCTTTCAGGGCTTCCAACCCTACTGCTGCCGCGGTGTCGGCTGCTACTTGACTCGCAACGCGAGCCCCTATCAATAAGTCCCATCCACAGGAAGGCCTCGCTCGCCTTGATCGTCGATACTCTTTTGCCGTGCTCATGATGCAGCTCTCGCCACGCGATGTGCACCAATTTGACGTCCCTATCTGCTGCCCGCTTGCTGCTGCTGCCGCTGCGTTTTCTTTTTCTTTTTCTTTTTTTACCTTTTTTTCATCCTTTCTTTATTTCTTTTCTCCCTTTCCGTGCGCAAGGTAGCGTGATCAATTCATTAAGCCAGCCGGTGGGCGAGCTAGCGCGGGCGGCCGGCCGCCGCCGAGGGCGTTCGGCAACACACGGCAACAACAAAAACAATTGAAAATCAAACGCCACTCCGCGTTATATGGCGTAAGTAGTTTTTAGCCTTAGGCAACTTTAGAGTTGCCTTACTTTGAGAGTTTTTCGCAAAACTGACACATTAAAGTCACTTCCGAGACATTTTTCTACAGGTTCCTGGTTTTGTAACAAAATTGAAAACTGCGTGCGGGCAGCGCAGCATGCCACACCTGAAGGGTGCAGCGGCGCGCGCGGCGCATCTGCTGCAGGAAGTCATACCCGATAAATTATCGTCCATATCGATACACCGTTAAAACAGTTTTATTGCCCCGACACGCGACGGCCGCAGAGCGGTGTAATGGCGAGGCGTCACGCCAGCGACTTGACTCGCTCTGACCTTGCACCAGGCAGATGCACCCGCCCTAATGAATTGCACGTCCCTGATTATGCATTATAGTGGTGCAATTTTGAAAAACAAAAAACGATTTATACATTCGCCAACTTATTTTTCTCTCACTATAGCTTCTTAAAACTTAACGATTTGGTTCTACGAATCTATTTAGAATGCCGCGACTCACCAGCTGGTTTTGGTACGCTGTGACGGCGGTGAAGACGGACTCGGGGAAGATGTAGGTCCGGTGCTCCTCCTGGTCGAGGTCCGTGATGGTGCCGCAGTGCTCCCGCCACTTGACCAGGTGTATGCGGGGCTGGTACCTGTGCATCGAGTTGAGCACGATCTGCAAAGGAGAAAGGACAGCGTTGGTTACATTGCATCAATGGACGGCGCAACAAATTGAAATGAATGGTCTAATTGTTCCGTTAGGCCGACGGGGACGCTCGCTCGCGCTACCCCTCTCCTGCTCAACCCTAAAACAACATCAGCCGTCCTCGAGGAGCGGACCGATAGTATCGAAACAGCGAATCTCTTGTAAGTTAAGAGCCTCTAATGGAACAGCGTGTAGTACAAGCGGGCGCTTCCACCTGCCCGCTCCGACTCTGCGGCTCGGGGGAGGAGAAGGGGGAGGGCGAGCGGTGGCGCGCGTTCCGCACCCGGGGCTCCTCGCATTGCCGATCCAGAGAGATGGAGAGACTGCTTCGCGACGAGTAGGAAGACGCCCACGGTTAATTTTATTGCTCGGCCGTTTGATATTGAAGTCGGAGCGCGAGAGAGCGAGTGAG